GACTACTCTGCGTGCCAGTTTACTGCAGGTACCTAAATGGTGCTTCGCTCAATGATGATTTTTTTTTCTCAAATTCAATTTTTTCGTCTGTTATGCTTCACATGTGCCACTGTTGGAAGGAGAGTGCCCGGATTCTTTTCCTGCCTTTTATTACTTGCGGACCGATGATTTCTGTGGTAAAAACTGAACCAAATGGACAAGCAGCGCTGAAAGGCACTCCTTTCAATTATTTTGAATCCTGTTATTACTCCACTGTGAAAATGCCTGTTGATGGAGGAATGATTCCGACAATTTTTCTGCGCTAATACAGAAAACTTTTCATTTCTCGATTTGATTGGAATCTTATTTTACAAGTGCAGTGCCGAAGAGGCCGATGGTGGAAGCGGTGATTACGGTGACCACGATGCAACGACAATGATAATGATAATGTTAATGAACTATAGTATGCTCATTTTTTATGTGCATAATTTTGTCAGGTACTTTAATTGGAAAGCCAAGAGAGAGTACAGTGTGTGCCTCAGATGCTGCCTGGAACATGCTTTAGTTTGATTGGGATTCGATAGATACGCCAAATGTCGCGAATTTGACTTTTAGGCCAGGCAACACATTAAAGCCGACAAAAATTTATGTTCTTGACCTGCTTTATTCTAGAGTTGTGATTTTGGCCTGTATTTGGACGGGAGTTCGTAGACCAGAGCGCAATTAGCATGGATGGCAGTTATTCATGTTGCACAAATTATTCTCTAATTCGTAGAATTTTCCAGCTTCTAGCTTTTATTTTTACATAGATTTAGGTGAAATCTTGGCAACGTCGAGCGTATATGAAGTCTTTGCATTCAGATAAGTTAGCTCTGAAAGAAATTGTAAAAGTTAAAAAGCTGAAATTTGGGACTGTTACATTTGTCATCGTTCTGGCAATCAGTAAAGAATCTGTTTTAGTTTAAAACCCGATTTTGTGCTAGTATCGTTGCTTCAGTTGGTGGATAATAACTGGAATAGAGCATAACTCAGCTCAGGATCGAAGAGCCTAGCATAGCTGCAATCGGCGTTTAGAAGCATCCTAGTGACAACACTGTTAGTCAGAGCGGTCTTAGTATTCTTGTAATCATTATTCATGGATGAATAAGCTCTGAACAAGGAATTTTGAGATTAATCAGCACTGCTTAATGGTAAAGCTAGTTTTCAGTTTTTTCTAATTTGCGTGCATTTGAGGAACCGGGTTATAGTTTTCCTCTGAGGTTTGCCGCGCTTAAGCAACTCTTGAAATATACTTGAAAATGAGGGTACAGAGCACAAAACGAGCTTTGAACTCCCGGTGTATTGCCCAGTACTTGAAAAGATATTGTGATATTTGGTGTGGGTATTTCGTACTAATAATGTACTGAGATGCCCCCACATAGCAGGCGCATGTACGCCAAACCGTTCAATCCTGAGCTGCATAAGGTGGTTGTGTATTATAAGATTATAGAATAAAAATGCTAAATTGAGCCGGTAGGATTAAATCCAACTGACAATCGAGACCATTTTGTATGAAAAGCACCGTTTTCACCTCAAATTTTAGCATAATTTTTCTGTGCAAGTAAGAAAATTGGTACCTGGGCCTGTCTGCTGAACAATTTCCACTTATAAAACAATATTTTCGGAGCTTTGTGAGATGTGATAACATTTGCTCTGTTTCACTGAATGGCGCCACAACTGGGCTGACTCCTTTCTTGGCTGTCCGCGATATATTACTGTTATAGGTATCCATGCTAGAAATAATTTTAGACTACGTTAACTGTCGCTGCTTTTCGATAAATTCATTCACAGTGTTGTGGATATGCTGGACGTGCTTTCATTGTTGATTTGTTCCGATAAATTTTTTAAAATGATTAGTAATAAAAATTGGCCGATGTTTTCCCCGTGCACTGAAGAGACTTAAAGAAGAATGAATTTTGGGTAAAACATTGACCGTTATTTTCCTGAGCTGTTAAAAAATCTACATAGTAGCATGTTCACAAAGCTTAGTCCGCCTGAAATGAGTTATCATCTGCATTTTTCACTTACTGTAAAGCAAATCCTAATTATTTCGTCCCTATTGTGTTGTTGTGTTAATAAGTAAAAAATTATGAGAATCTGTAAAAAATAACTCAGTGAAAGAGGTAATTGGAAGGGGTAAAAAAGGTAAAAATCTTGCATTACTTTGTAAACGAGTTAAGAAAGTTTACGAGGATTTAGAAAAAATAACTCAGTGAAAGAGGTAAAACTGCTACGTAGTAGGAAATTTCCCTCGTCGATATCTTTTTTGCCGGATTCTAGCGGTGCATCACCCACTACAACGATACTTCGTTCAAAATAAAGCATTAAAATAATTCATAAATTTTGCAGTAACACTCTTACCAGTCAATATGCCGGCAGCTTTACTAGCATAGTGATCAGACAGTTTGAGAATCTGCTCATTTCCATATTCAGAGATTTTTGCTAAATTCCGGAACTCGTCCAAAATTCAATGATATTTTTATATTCCGCTCACCATTATTTGCAGTTATTATTGCTTATAACAAAGAAATGTCTGTGAATGTGCATCAGATGAAAATTCTTGAAAAACGACCTTTCACGAAAAATTCTGGCTACGTCACTCACTGAGTTTACATGCCTTGATGAAGTGCACAAGCAAAAAACTGCTGCGAAAATCTCGTCAACATGCACATCTCGTTGTTCCCTAGAAAAGAAGGCAGGCAGATGATTGGAATTTTTCCCCGAAATTTTGTTTGTCCATCGTAAAATGACTTACAAATTTTTGGGTTTTTTGGACATTATAATCAAAGGGTGCGATCCATTAAGCTTCATTAGATTTTAAGCCCTTCGTTTTGCATTGCTCGAACACTCAACTCCTAAAATATTGATCATTGTGTGATTTTCGAAAATTCGTTTAGCTAAATTTCGTTAAGTTCGATAACACAACCAAATCTCCAGACATGGGATAGTCTGGAAATGAAATCCAGAGGTGGAAGCCTGCATGCGCATAACTTGCTCTCGAAATTTCCAAGTTATCTTATACTGTTCTTTAGGCTGAATTTTTCAAATACACAAACAAACGCGATCTGCTATTATTTGCTTTTAGTGCTAGAATACATAAATAAGAAAGAATCAATTAAGACCTTTGATTTAGAGCGCATGCGATGGCATTTAACTAAGTTTAAAGTGTTGAACAAAGTAATAAAGTGATACAAAATGTTGCTCAGTAACAACAGCATACTTTTATTTATGCTGTAAATTTAGACAACGACTCACCAGGATTGCCGATGCGTTGCTCACCTAGGCATGCGCTAAACTTGAAGCAGTTAGGTCGTCAACAGTATGAAGTTGTACGCTCATAGCCGCCAACTGTCGTAAATTTTGCATAAAGGATACTAAATAATTTTCCGTAACAGGTGTAACTTGATTGACAATCTCCTAGTTCTTGAGTTAACAATCTTCCCGTCAAAATTTTCACTTTCTTATACCTGAAAACGATATTACGTTTTTTGAGACACCTTGACCAGTGAAATTGTTAGCAAAATTCCAGCATCTAAGCTTGCTTGGATGCCAATTTGAAATACTCGACAGACGAGCACACGAATGTGCACAAATATGCACACATATACTACACATAGGACCCTTACAATACTTGTTTTTGCTGACTGTTGCAGCGTTCTGGCGCTGCACCGTAAAAACGCATAAAAACTGAAGAATGCCTTGGGCAACTGTCAGCGCGTTCAGCGAACATCCAAAGTTTACCAGTACTCTCCGGAAATCTGCTGTTATTGGGATCTTATGTCCTCTCTTGCGCTTCCTTAAAATTTAACATTAATACAAAAAACACAATCAAAAATAAAATACAAAAGAGATTATAAAATTAACAAAACGAATAACAAGTCATCTCTTTTGTTCTGCTCTGCGCACTGAGTTTTTGATGGTTCTTTTCAAGTTCCCGAAAGCCCTAACATTTTGATGAGCCCGAGTTTCTGTTACAGGATTATGCTGAATTCCTTAGTGTGGATCCAACTGCTTCGAATTCCGAAATCGACGGTAGCGGCAATAACAAATACACGATGATGCAATTTGCAATGCTGTACTTCCGACGACCGAAAGGAATGCCAGCGGACATAACGGGACTGGGTAATGGTGGAGATACGCCACAGCGAAAAAGTGAGGAATCAGGAAGACTGTTTGTTGTCTTTTAAATTTCATAATAATAATTGGAGTAATTAGCCTAAGACAAGAACAACTTCACAGAACTCTGCACAACGTATGACTGGGCTTCAGCCAGGTTTTTAACAGTGTAATGATAATGATTGCTTTTGCAGAGTAGGATTGTTGTCAAGGACTGATTAGCTCGGATATCTTGCAACTGTTGCTCGCAATTTCGTACAATTTTAATTTTGCAGAAAAGGACTGGACATGGAAAGAGATTGCAGAAAAGGTGAAATACACCAATAAACCGATTGGTCACTCACTGCTGCGCCTCGATAACAACGAAGCAGATAAGCTAGCTCAAGAAGCATTCATCTGTGAGTACATCATGCTTTTAAAGCCGTTGAGGACTAGAACTACTTTGGTGCCTGAAATTAATTACAAAATTTTGCTACTGGTAAAAAATAAGTAAAGTTATCAAATATTGGTGCTCGACCGCGAGAGTATCGAAATTTTCGAAAAAATTGTTATTAAGTAAAAACTGATTCTGAGTACGAAAAAGACACTTTTTTAAGATTATTTTTTGTGACGGGCACTAATCCCGATATTGGTGAATAAGTTGAAAATCCTTACTAGACGAAAGCTTCCGTCCCCATTTTCAGGCATAATGCGCTACATGGGTGACGAGAATCTAAAACGAGGACAAACTTTGACGGATTGTGTTTATGAGCTTCTGATGATCTGTCATCAGTATCAGCCACTTCGCGATGAGGTCTACTGCCAGATCATTCGTCAGACAACCAATAACAAAAGCACAAGGTGAGCGTGTTGAATCGACAGAATATTGCAGCTATTTCAGGGTAATTTCTCACCTGCTGCGCATTAGGGAAATAGTGAACCGCTAATGCTACCCAGCCATGTCGTCAACATTTGCCCTGCCTCTAGGACTTTTTGCAGCTTGCTACTCAAGTCGTCTTGCTTTCTGCCACATTCCTCTAGACCGTCGTCCAACGGCTCGAAATACATCTTTAATTTGAATTATTTTGCTATGGCGCAAGATTTCGATGCCGTTTCTGAGCTGTCTGCCGTCTAGATTAAGGCTTCAGCTATCTCATCCAATATGCAAAGGAACACCTCGGCGTGTAATAAAATACACTGCAAAACTAACGAGAAAAAAGGAAGGGTTTTTTAAGGAAATCTTGCGCATTCGCAACGAAGACGCCTAGTTGTGTGGCACAAGAGAATTTGCCTTAAATGTTTTTGAAGCTAGTCCGCACTTTGCTGAGTTCATGTTTTTATCCCACCTATGTTTTGACTTTAAAGGAAAGTACTCTGAGTGAGGGATAAATCGAAGTAGGCGTTGTTTATCCAGTCACTTAATTTGCTTGTTTTTGCACTGCAGTGTTTGCTTGCAGAGCAGACAGTTCGATCCGCGGTTGGCGTCTCTTCTCAATTTTGACTGCTTACTTCGACTGTTCAGAGGTGCTGAAACCATACTTGTTCAAATATCTCATTGATATGGCCAGTGATCCGAGAAGAGCCTATCACGGTGGGTTTCTTTTTCTACACTCTTGTGCAGTCGCGCTTGCTTAATTATCAAAATTCTAATTCAAATTGTTGCAGGCACAGCGTCGATATGTTTGCAAAATTTGGTAAAAACATTTAAGTACGGTGGCCGGAAATTTCTACTGAGCGGACGAGAAATCGAGGCAATCACGGTAAGTGA